GGGTCTAGGCCCGAAACGTCAGCCTTCCTGCTCCTCTGATGCTGCTTGGCCTGCTGTGTTCATCCAGCTCTACACCTTGTTATCTCTGGTTGACATTTGAGTTGTGCCACACGATTGAAAAAAAGCTGTGGATCCAGCTTTTGTGATCAGTGGCAAAACAGGGCACTTGCCACTGACCTTGGAGAGAGATATCCATGAAGATTTGGCAATTTACATGGCACAGACTTCCTCTTTCCCCGGAAGCAGTTTAAATGATCTGCCACCTTCTGCAGACAGTCACTGGGTTTTGGAGGCAGTGCTATGTTTGCGGGCCTGAAGATCTCTACAGTGTTGAATTTGTGTGCTGCCAACTCCTTTCAAACCTCAACTTTTATGGTATCACCCAGTTGGATTCCCTCAGGTCAGAGGGACTATTAACTGCTTGCCTGTGGTGCTCAGAGTTCCATGGCATCATCCAGCCAGATTCGTGAACAGGAAGGGATTTCACTCCCTCAGTAACCAGCCTATTTGCGACCACAGGCATGTGTGTGCCTTCTATCCTGAACATAGAGGGGAGAATAACAGTCATTGGGGCGATTGGGACAATGAATGGTGACAGCTGGATTTTAAGGGCAGGGAGCACAATGGAGTTAATTGGTGTGCTGGGGAGGGAGAAAGAATAGTGGTTCTGAGGAAGGGTCACTGGACCTGAAACGTTAACTCTGTTTTCTCCTCCACAGATGCTGCCAGACCTGCTGAGCTTTTCCAGCAACTTTGTTTTTGTTCCTGAGAAAGAATAGTGGAACTGAATGATGGGGGGGAGGTGGGTCTTAAAATTTGAGAATGGGAGTAGAGGGCTGAATTGGATAAAGGAGAGGAGCAGGAATATCCAGGGAAAAAGTCATAGGGCCAAGAGTCAAAAGGATGGCTCATTGGGGACAGGGGTAATCGTTAATGACCACAGGGCAAAACCCTTAGACTGACAGCAAAGAGCATTACAGTGCTGTGTGCAACCACTAGCACCATCATTGAACTGACAATTGGTCTTCTGCAATCACCTTCACTGCCTGGAAGCTTTCCCTTACTCAAGAAGAATGTTTCAGTAGTTGTTGGACAGGGTCTTCAGAATAGTGATTGTTCGCTGCACACCGCACAACCTACACCTAACATTCATATACTACACAATTCTAAGACACAGAGTACAGATAAAAAGTCTCACACCCACATCTCACAGCCTGCACTTGCTGCCAGCAAGTCTGCCATGATTATCCATGTTGCACAATGCTCACTGACAGCCTTTCCTTTCGCTGTTGCAAGACTGGCTGGTTCACAACCAGAAGCAGCAGCAGCTAACCAGGAACATGCTCTAAATGCACAGTGCTCAAGTTTCTGAAACTTGGGCATGCTGAATTAATTGAAATCAGTGATATTTTGACATTAATGCTTGTTCTTATTCTTCCCTATGCTAATACTCCTCATTCCACAACTCTTTCTGTCTTACAAGCTACAGATGCTGTGACACATACGTCTTACTTCTGGCTGCTGCCCTCATAACCAAATGCTTGTGCCATTTTTTTTCCCTTTCAAATCCCCAAAAGATGCAACCTGGCCAGCCAGTGTAGGAACACCAAGAAGAGAATGATAAAGAAACGACTTAGATTGCTGAGGTGCTACTAAACAACATGACAATGATTCTGTGAAGTAGGAGCCAACTATCTTTCTCAAGAGTATAAAATTCATTCTCCGATGTCTGCCATTCCATCAGTGTCCTGTTCTGGCAGCCAAGTGGCCCAGACTAATTTCATCCATGATTTGTTTTTTATTCATTCATGGGACAAGGGCATTGTCTTGGCCAGTATTTATTGCCCATCCCTAATTGCCCAGAGGGCAATTAAGAGTCAACCACATTGCTGAGAGTCTGGAATCACATGTAGGCCAGACCAGGTAAGGATGGCAGTTTCCTTCCCTAAAAGACATCAGTGAACTAAATGGGTTTTTTCCAAAAATTGTTTTGAGGCCATCATTAGACTCTTAATTCCAGATTGTTATTGAATTCAAATTCCACCATCTGCCGTGGCGGGATTTGAACCTGGATCCCCAGGACATGAAGAAGGGTAATACCCGAAACATTTAATTCTCCCTTTTTCCAGATGCTGCCTGGCTTGCTGTGTTCTTCCAGCTTCCTGTTTGTCTCCACCTGGGTCTCTGCATTGACAGTTCAGCGATAATACCACTGGGCTGTCACCTCCCCATGATGGCACTGGTCGTGCACTGCCCAGGGTTGTCTTCAGACATTCTGCTGTCTTATCAACTGAAAATCAGCAACTTTTGGGCAACTTTTCATCAGACAAACTGTAGGAAATAGGATTATATAGGTGCAATATAGAACTGGAATGATAGACAAGTTGAGCAATCCCACAGTCAATGGATCAGATCAAGGACTTCCTGACCTACCACATCCTGTCATGAATGGTTTTGGGCAATTAAACAACTAACAGAAGGAACAGGCTCCATCTGCACCCCAATCCTCAATGATGGCAGAGCCGAGCGTAACTACATCAACTACAAAATTTTTAGGAATCAAAAAATACTTGTGTGTCATTGAGCTGAACTCAGCCCTCACTGTGTGACTTCAGCCAAGATCTTAAAAGATGCGATGCTCCACCAGGAGAGCCAGTTTCAGCTGCAGCCTCACTAAAAGATCAAGGTACAGCTATGCTTCTTCATGCTGTCAGAGGTGACCACCTCCTCTTCACTGGGGACGGTGATTCTTCCTCAGAACCGGACGCATAATGTTAACTGATGTTTCTTTACAGATGCTGCCAGACCTGTTTCCAACAACTTCTGTTTTTGTCCCTGATTTACAGCACCTGCAATTCTTTCAGTTTTTATTTTGCCTGCACTGTTGAACACAAGATCCAAGGAAAACTGTTCTAAAAAATCCATGAACCAAACTATGGAACCCATGTCCAACAACATTTGCAGAATAACCTTATGTCAACAAGAGTGACAGACTAGCGTTCAGATCAATTATAAAAGAGGAGGTTGGACTCTGGGCATGAAATGGGAAACCTAAAAACGTGTAATTGTAGTGAAAAAGCATGTCCTAGTCTCAGATGAATAGTCAATTACTGGTATTTATGATTTGCAGACTTGGTACATTAGAGAAGTGAAACGGTCAGGACATATGAGACCATCATGGAATTGTATTGTATCAGTCAAATTGTCACATAGCCATTTATAATGAATTGCTAAAGTGGCACTTACAGGCTAATGAGCAACATCGGTCGCAAGGATGATTACAGTTTTTACTTTAAGCGATGGGCCAGAACAACTTCACATTTTCTATACTCCTGTTGAACTGTTCCAGTTTATCTTTGACAGATGGGGTGAAGGGCAAAAAGACTCAAAAGAAATTTTTGTGGGGAGGGTTGTGACCTACAGGAAAAATCATCTGATTCTGATGTGGGAACGCCGCAGACATGTTGGCAGTGGTCGCGGAGCGGTTAAGGCAAGTTGCAATGTGGCAGCTTAAAATTGCAAGGGCGGAAAACTAATGTTCAGTGTGGCATTTAGTTTTAAAAAGGAAAGCTGTTGCTTTGTGGAAACTCAAGATTTGAAAGCTTGAGAGTCGCCAGAGTTAAAACCAATGTCAGATAATTCAGAGGGAAATGACACCAGCAGTGCCCGGAAATGGTTTTGAGTTTAAAAATCTATTCCCAAGTTTTCTCAAGAGATTTCTTTTTTTATGTAATGTTTAAGGACAAGACCTCCAGCTTTATGTTCCTCCATCTTTCTTTTTGGAGTTGGCATGGATTCTTAGTGCTGATGGCTTCGTAATAAATTAGAGAACACTGCTCTTCTATTCAGGGGCTTGGCAGAGCTGAGGTCTGTCGAAAACTCCTAGTGGTACTGAGGACGTGCCCTGATTAAACAAATCATGCAAATCATCCTCAGCCAGGAGTCAGTGTTAGTCCCAAAATGAAGACAGGAAGGGAAGTATTCTCAAGAGGTTTCACTTCTCTGCAATTCTTCAACATTTTCTGCTTTTTGCTGGCACTGCCAGGTAGGAAGTCTGTTTTATTCTATTTGTTTAAAATATGGCAGATTAACATATTCCTGAGCTTTGGTCTGTCTCTGCACCTACTGCAGAGTTTTCTCGGTGCATTTGCTGATCCCTTGTTAAAGTTGCTGAGACTAGTCATTATGTCAGAGCAGATATTGCCTCAGAAAATTGATCTAAATACTTTTTTTTAAAAATGAGAACTTTTTTTGAAGAAGAAATAACAATTCAAGCTTTTGGCTGTTAAGCACATAAGCCACCAAGTCATCCTGTGAAACAACAAGCATTGTTTATGCCTCTGTCTCTCTCAGACGGAAACCGTGTCAATCGCCCACTCTATTGCATGTCAAACTCCATGACATGCTTCGTGCATGGATTCCTGAGGGACACTTATAGAAAGTTGGCATTGTACAGTGATGGTGTAAACTTTTGTGCTTCCCACAGTTCAAGTTGATACGGGCTGTCATATTCAGAGAGCATAATTAGTTTGCAGAGGCAAAGGGTCATGCTTGTCTGTGTGGGCATCTGCTATGCACTTGTTTACTCTTTAACCCTTTCAACATCAATATCCCTCCTTTTCAAGACTCAGGACATGGACTTGCATTGGATTACTCAATGATCTTGGGCAGAGTACTGCAGTGGTTTTCCAGTGTTCTCTGCAGGATCACTGACCAGTAGACTCTCCAGCTCTTTAGACCTGCCACCTGGCGTCCTGGAAGGATTTACAGGCTGACATTCAACATGTTTTGGCTGTGATATGAATGAACGTTCCATGGCTTTTGTTCGCGTTAAGCCTGATAATAAGAACCCATTTCGTTATTCAGTCAAGGGCTGATGGCAACCACAGTCCAACTCATTCTCACCAACATCCAAGTAAACAATAAGAGGCACTTTCCAGTCAGAATTAGTGAATAGTTATTAGGATCAGAAACTCTATCTGTTCTATTCTTTCCCTTACTCAGGGGTTCTGAGGTCAATTATACAATCCAAACAGGTGAGCTCATCTAATGAAGAATTGAATGTTTGTCAAGTATGGGATCCACTCATAGCCCATAGCTCAGTATCATTTTGGGTAAAAGTTATTCTCCCAGTCCCCACCAGCAATGTTTCAATGAAATTAACTGGGAGCAACAAGAATCTTATGACAGAAATTTAACGAAATCTCTGTGACTATTTAGAATCTTTCCAATTTATGAATTCCCTTGTAACTTCATTGTTGTGACTTCTAGAATATGACTTCAGAAAAAAACACTAATTTTGAAACATTTTCTGTTGTGCATCAGGGATGGTGAGGGTGGTACAGATGGTACAGGTGAAGCTGAAAGATGGTAGTGGAGCAGAATTTAAGGGGTTGAAGTTAATGGATGCCAGCAGCATGAAACAGGTGCAGAACAGGTTGTTTTCCACGTGCATGATTTTCTTCCCACTGGAGTTCACAGAATGAGAGTTCAAAAATACTTCCCTGTCTCACTGTTGCTTGAACTTAAAAATAGTGCAATAATTTTTAAGTCAGTGGAGAATTAAAATGGCATGGTGAAAAATTATTCTGTTGGCCATTTGTGTTGCTGGTTTGTACCAATAAATGTCTGTCAGTACAAGGGCAGGACAGTGATGTGCAAATGATTTTCAGTAGGTAATAGTGTAGCAGAAAATATGCTGTTGGCGATTACAACAATTTGAATTTTTCTAGCACTTTCTGCTCTAGCTGGGGTAATAAGATGGTGTCACCATATGCAGGTAGACATCAAGTTAGATTAATTAAATTATTTCAATTGAAGTTCAAGTTGTCATGTGTATAATTGTTGTATGGGCTTGCCAGCTCACTACGCTGCATGAAACACTGCTCGTAATAAAGGTCAGTGCCATCACTCTCCATAAGATTTGCTTCAGGACAACCACTTACAGAGGACAACCACTTCCTGGTCTAACTAGATGAGTCCATTGTAGTTTACAACGTGTAGCTTATTTTCTGTTAGCAACTATTTACATGTTACTTTGATATGATAGCGATTGTTACAGAGACTGCGGAGGGCCCTGTGTTAAGTTTCATTCTTGTGAGAACTTAAGCTGTTTCGTCCACAAGTTCATATGAACAAATAAAAAGGTACAGTACAGGAACAGGCCCGTTGGCCCTCTGAGCCTGTGCTGACCATCATCCCTAATTAATCTAAAAACAAACCTGCCATTTTTCGATCCGTATCCATCTATTTCCTTCTTATTCATGTACCCATCTAGGTGCCTCTTAAATGTCTTCAATATGCCCACATCCACCACCTCTTCTGGTAATGCATTCCACGCTGCTACCACTCTCTGCGTGAAAAACTTCCCTCACACATCTGCTTTAAACTTTCCCCCTCTGACCTTGAACCTGTGCCCCCTTTATGATTGAAACTTCAACCCTGGGAAAAAGCCTTTGACTATCCACCCTATCTATGCCTCTCATAATTTTGTTGACCTCTATCAGGTCTTCTCTTAGCCGCCGTCTTTCCAGTGAAAACAATCCTAGTCTTTTTAACCTTTCCTCAATAGTCAATGCCCTAGACCCCAGGCAACATTTTGGTGAACCTTCTCTGTACTCTCTCCAAAGCTTCCACATCCTTCTGGTAATATGGTGATCAAAACTGCACACAATATTCCAAATGCGGCCTAACAAGAGATCATCATAGTGGGTGGTGCATGTCGCATTCCTCACTATTAACCCATTCAGGCCCATATACAACACTAGTTAGATTAAGAATGATCAGTTACTATGTTATATTTAGTTTTGTGTGAGATAAAGCTTCAGGAATTTACAATAGCAGGGCAGTTGAAGCACATGTTTAGAAATCTTACTTCAGTGTGAGAGGCCTTCTGAGTCAAACACTCTCACTGGAAGTGTCCCTGAGTGCATTAACTTAATGTCTAAAGATCCCCATCCATGGAAAGCAATGTAATATTAATAATAAAAACCAAAAGAACAGCGGATGCTGTAAATTAGGAACAAAAACAAAGTTGCTGGAAAAGCTCAGCAGATCTGGCAGCATCTGTGAAGGAGCTCCTTCATAATATCCTTAATAATATTTGGGTGTTAGATAGATTAAACAGAGTTTTCTCCTTCACAGATGCTGCCAGACCTGCTGAGCTTCTCCAGCAACTTTGTTTTCGTTCCGTAATATTAATAATATTTGGGTATTAGATAGATTTCTGGAATAAGATGACTACTCCATAATTAGACAGAGTAGAAGGGGATAGTTCCATGCAGAAGATGATTTAATGAGGAAGAGAAGAGTTAAGTGTTGCAACAGTTACTTATCTACTTCAATTGGAATTGAATGGCCTTTCCATTAAGTTAACATTTGACCCAGATAAAATTAAAGCCAAAGGAATAAGGGTAAAATCTCCAGAGTTTGGGCCATATCTGGACTGCATTCAAGCATTGTCTGATAAGTAGCAAGTAACACTCACCGCACACAGACAATGACCTTTGATGTTTATCGGCATCGTCATCATTGAATTCCTCACCATCAGTATCCTGGAAACTTAAACGGACTAGTCAATTGAATACTGTGGCTATAAGAGCAAGTCAAAATCTGAGAATTCTGAAATGAGTAACTGACCTCTTGGCTCCCCAAACCTGTCTGCCAACTATAAGACACTCTCCAGGACTGTGATAGAATACTCTTCACTCTTGGATGAAAGCCCCTCCAATGATTCTTAAATTGTTTGATACCATCTAGGATAAAGCAGCCCATAAATTAATTTAAGCATTACTTCCTCCACTACAGTGGCACCAGTGTATACCATGTGCAAGATGTACTGCGGCAATCACTGAACCTCCTTTGATAACACTTTCCAAATCTGTTCCCTTTAACACCTTGAAGATCAAAAGCAGAAGATGCATGAGAAACAATGATCTGCAAGTCCCATTCCAAGATAATCACCATAATAACATAGAAATATAGAAAATAGAAGCTGGAATAGGCCACTCAACCTTTTGAGCCTGCTCTGCTATTCAATATAATCATGACTGATCACCCAACTCAGTATCCTGTTCCCATTTTCTCCCCATATTCTTTTGTTCCTTTAGTCCTAAGAAATATATCTAACTCCTCCTTGAAAGCATTCCATGGTTTGACTTCAGCACTTCCTGTGGCAAAAAAATTCCACAGGGTCATCACCCTCTGGGTGAAGAAATTTCTCCACATCTAAGTCCTAAATGGCCTACCCCATATCCTTAGACTGTGACCTCTAGTTCTGAGCTCCCCTTTCATCGGAAATCATTCTTGGAACTATATTGCTGTTCCTTCACTGTTACTAGAATTCTCTTCCTGAAAAGCATTGTGGATATACTTACACAGCATCAATCACAATGGTTCACGGTAGTGGTTCACCTCATGGGCAATATGGGAAGGTCATGCCCACACCCTCATGAAAGAATAAAAGCGATATATAATGGCAAACACATACGATCTCATAGGTAGGTTTCTTCCATGTACTAATGTTGTTCACACCCAACAGTGCGTATTAATATTGGATGGGAAACGGAAACAGCTAGAAATTAAAGTTAATGTCAGAACCAATTGCACAAGGAAAAAAATATATTTCCTGCCTTGGTAAAAGAATTCTAGAAGTACTATGATTGAGTAAGAAATTGGCTGTGTGATGTAGTAATTGCAGGATTTTTACATATTAGCCGACAAAGATAAAGCAAACCAGGGAGGTAAATGTCAGGCAGAGATGCTTCTTAGGGCATATGGTTTTCAATTTGGGTATATTGAGACTTATTTATCTTTATCATTTATTGACACTTGTTCTGGGGTAGGAATGAATTGGCAATGTGATGACCTAGAACTGAGCCGCACTGAGGCCAGTTTCTTTGAAGGGATTTTAATTAGAAGTTACATATTTTGCAGTTTGGAAAGGAATATATACTTTAAGTATATAGCAAATTAGGTGGAAGGAAGGTTGAACAAAGTTCATTTAGAGAAGATAGCTAGTTGGAAGAAATCGGGTTATGGGAAAAT